GGTCAGTTTGTATGGAGACTGTAAAACATGGGTGAATCATATATGCAGCCAATGACTCAAAAGCAAGAGACAAGAATGATAGACACCGCAACAATTAGATAGTTGGGTTTAAATGAGAGCTGAAACTACAGTAGCTATGTTTAAGAGGTTACATATACTTCAAACTTGCTCTGTAAGTGAAGGTTTATGAAATCAGCTTGAGTAACCTTTGTCAGGTAGAGCTTCGAATAATAAATTCAAATTTAAACACTCAAAAGATATTGTTTAAACATTTGCTAAATCCCTTGGCAGTTTTGGAGAACAATCAACGCTCCTGAACCCATTTTGATTCCTTCAGAACATGGTACATAGAGGATCCAAATGCTCCTGAATCAATGTACTGCCATCAGTTTTTTTTTTTTTGGCGTCCAGCCATAAGATACAATGCTCAGAAGATTGATTCTTTTATGAAGAAGTAAATGATTAGAAGAAAGAAATAGGTTCAAGAGACAGCATCAAAGAAGAGAAGTAAAAGAGGGGCCCCAATGAGTTACATTGAAACACCAAGTAGAACATTTGTGTTTGAACTTTTGTCTCTGAGATGATAGAAAAAGACAACATCCTGGATCAGCAATCAGGGATCACTCAAATTATGTAAATAGATCTAATATCTATGGATGCTGCGTACAGTCTGTTGACAACTTAAATCAAGTAAGAGATTGGAGGTCCGTAATGCCACAATCTCTGGGAATGAAGTGTTCATGGTTATTGGCTGTCAGCCAAGGGCACAATTCCCTGTTGCAGTCTGATTCTCTTGAATGTCTCACCAGTGGTTCTGTGGAACTTATAAGTCAATATACCATAGTCGCCTCCCTTCTTAAAGGGAGCTCTCCTCTTGGAGTTAGTCCCCTTTCCAGATGAAAGAAAAATGAAAACAAATTTTGAAGGAAACCAATTAAGAAAAAACTGCTAAGGTGCTATGCTACTATAGCATAGACATGAGTACACTTTTAGCATAAGTTCCAGAGAAATGCAAAACCCTCCATCTCCATCATCCCACATGCATAGGAACAAATGCATGCACATATATTTTGCCTCAAGATGGAATCTCTTCTATCAGTAATCTCATCACGAAATATGTTACCACCAATGCATAATAACAATATCAATTATAATCACTTTTAAATGATGCAGCTAGGAGCACTTTATGCATAAGTAGATTTTACAAAAAAAAAAAAAAAAACAGGCAAAAATTTCATACATTCACATATAATGCAAAGAGTTTGCAGGCAACTATATAGCCAAATTCAAAAAATAAGGAACTAAAAAAGAAACAAAGCCGGAGATAAAACATTTTTTAACTAAAAAGAAAAAAACTCTTTACTCAGCAGCGAACATTAATTCTTAAATCGAAACATAAAACATTTTCCACCATACCATGGTTAGCATGCACTTTGTGGATTTTGCTAAAACTTGGACAGTTTCATCTCGCAAGAAAAGCATATTTAAGACTGTGTATGCTTCCACATCATATGCCCCTCCTATACACTCTCCCTTCTCAACCATTCTTAGCTGGCGCTGCCCAACCTTCTGCTACAGCCTTTTTTTATTTATTTCATAGATTATTGTTATCAGCAATCAGAATTCTTTTGAACATGCAATAAAGGGAAGACCAGTCTTCAAAAATGCCTCAAGGCTTAAATTTCATAAATCTCAATCTCGTACTTGAGCAGCTTGCACAAAGAGCTGCAGTTCATGAATGTGCTTACTCCACAGTAATTAGATTGACTATCCAATTTGGAGAACCAAAAAAAAACAACAACAATATTTTTAGCCAGGATAGCTTCAGTTTGTACTTGAATCAATCATACCTCATATCTATCACACAAACACAAGATACTTCAAAGAAAATCACCTTCACTACTGCATTCTTCTAAAGTTAGCAATACCCCTCAAAAGGAAGATACCATTTCTAACCACAAGCACTTAAAAAACACATAGATTGCTACTTTCAGCTCAAAAGTAAATTAAGAGATGAAAAAAAAAATCACATTAAAAAAACTACTTTTCCTAACACAACAAGCTTCGTTTCAAATTAAATGTAATGCAAACCATACTGGAGTATTGGCCTCCTGAAGCACAAAAATATCATGCAACAATCAAAAGTTCCGTTAAGGAATCCGATTACACACGCACTATCAGAGTAAGTGATACATGCACAAACAACAGATAAGCAAAGCAAGCGAGCAAACACATACACATTTCCTCCCAGTAAAATAGCAAGGATAGATTCTTCTTCAACTGCATGACATTGGAATTCATCAAGATTCTAACTTCCATGCTAAGTCAATGAATTCGAAAAAGTACATCTTCTTGTTAAAATTGATAAATTTCTTTGAAAAATTTGCAATTTTTACCTGACAAAGATTAACATCTGATGCCCAACAAACTCGTTTTGATTTCTTCAATCCTCGCATATTTACAAATCAACAAAAATTCTTCGATTCTTTCAATTTCCAATTTCCCTCACCATAAAATTAATTTTCGATTAGAGTGTAAAACTCCACTCCCGAGTTCGAAACCCTAAAAAAACTAGATTTACAACTGCATCGATATCTCTCCTTATCAGTTACTTACCCATTCCACGATTTTAAGCGATCAAAGAAGTGAGCACAGAGGGATCCAAGGGAACCCTAGATCCTCTGGATTTTTTCTTTCTTTTGAGTTGCCGTTTCCATATCGTTCTCTATTTTTTTTCTAATCTTCCGTTGTATCTATAGTATGTACGTACGCTCTGGTTTCAGCGCGTGAGTTGAGATTTTTCTTCTCCTCTTTTTTTATATATAAGAAATGAGTACCTAAACTTCATTTCTGCTCGAGTTAATCATCATTAGAGTTTAATAAAATTAATTGATTGATTCTTGTGGCTTCCAACTTTATTTTTAAATATTCATGTTCCTAAATTCATTAATAATTTAGTGTTTTTGATGATTTTATTTTATTTATTTTAATTTTTTTAACATATAGAGAAAATATTAGTGTTTTTGATGATTTTATTTTATTTAGTTTAATTTTTTTAACAAGTAGAGAAAATAAAGGAAGGGTAAACGAAAAAAGAAAAATAAATTTTGAATATGTTTATAAAACATAAAAAAAAAAAAAAAATTTTGAATATGTTTATAAAACACGATTAATTTTTAAAGACTTACTTTTATTGTCATAGAAATATTATATTTTAAAAAAGAGGCAATAAAAATAATTTTAACTAACAATTTTGAATTAAAATTGATTAAAATTTTATTTATTTTCTTAAATTAAATTAAATTTTATTATAGATTTTTTTTATAGAGATAAAATAAAAATTATAAAACTCAATTTAGTTTAAGGGTTAAAAATATATTATGAAGATTAACTTAGATTAACCAAAATAAATCAAAAGGATGTGGTTTTAAAAGTTATTTTTTAAAGAAGATTTGAGATGTCGTTTTGAAAATAATTTTTTTAAAAGAATTAAATTAGATTTTATTATAATTTTTACCAAAATTATAGATAAATTTATTAATTCAATCATTTTTTTTATCACTTCCAATCTAGTTTGACATAAAAATAAATCAGAACAAAATTTTGAATCCACAAGTTACCGTGTTGTCGTGACGGCCCGGGCTGGAATAACACTGGATCAAAGTGTGGTTTCGCCGAAGAAAAAATGTACTGAGACAAACCTGGGCAGTGGGGTGAGCAACACGTTAGTGAAACGCGATTGAAGTTTGATATGACCTGTTTTGGAAAGCGTTAAAGATTTTCTGACCACAGTTTCTATTTTTAAATTTTATTTTCTATCTTCTTCTTTTTGAATCGGACGATGAAAGGACAGTTGGCTGACGAAAGGTTAAGCTGATGGTCTGGTCGGTACACGCATGGTTGATAGCCTGCCAGCTACTTTGCCACGTATGGTTTTGTTGTTTTTATGGCATTCTCCATGGGCTGGGTTATAGCTCAATGAAGGATCAGGCCCTGCTGCTCCTGCAGAACCTCATATGCCTTAAGAACTTTTCTAGATTCAGTAGGAAAATAGATCGCCCCAGATTGAGCCCTCAGACAGGTGAAACACCCCTGGAAAAACTATCATTATTCTCTCTTTTATGACAATGCTAGATTCCCTTAGAACTCCTCGAGTGATTATTGGGAGGCAGGATGTGGGTCTTTTTAATGAAATAAGCTTTGAAAAATGAAAAACGCTTGCTATTGTCATTTTACTTTGCTCACCGGGAGTTATCCTAGAACTTTTTCAAGCAATGCACACATAGTTAATTGGTCAGTGGAATTGACCATGTCGGACAGACTTTGAATGTCTTGGGTCGCCTCATCTTTCATGTCACTGTGCTTTCGGGGATGTCAACTTGAACTTTTATTACCAAACCAAAAGGAAAGGCTGGAAGTCAAAAACTTATGCTACAATAAAGGTAAAGTCACTGGCCTGCTGTAATCATCATACCTAACTTGAGATATGACCCGACTCAAGTGTCGAGTTGCAAATTTGTTAAATTAACCTGTAAATTAATAGATCAACCCAACTATATCCAATACAATACCATTTTAAATGGATTTAGAAAAAAAATTAAATTGACCTTGTTAAATTTATTCTAAGTTTTTCAGGTCAATCAAGGTACTTGAATTTTACCAAGTTCACACAGAAATATGGTTCAGGAAGGAACCTAGCCCAGCTGGGCTTGCAGTAACGGTTCACCAAGTCGACTTGTTAAAGCAGGCGGGTAGTCACGTTGCCGGGCCAGGCTATAGATCCCCACTGATGCACTATTTGTGCACAAGAAACATTACTGCCTTGAGATTCTCTCCTGTTTTAGAAACATTGCTGACTTAAGATGACAGAAGCACCTGATGAGAAGCGAATCCATGCCTCTCCGTCAGGACTCTGCATCCTTTCCGTAGAGGGAGTCTGCAACCCTGGAGGACTCCTTTTGTAATGGTGGAGAGGACGAAACGAGATTTTAACCTGTGTCTCTGCTGAAGAAATAAAATCTTTATTTTTTTTATTTTTTATTTTTTTTTTAAAAAAAATCTTTATTGAAAAAACCAGTGGTGGCCTTTGGAAAGCTCCCACGTCATTGTTAATGTCTCAAACTCCAGATACACATCCCACGACATGTTTAACAAGCCTCAACAGTATCACACAAAATAACGGTGAACAGACACACAGACCATACCTCCACAATGGAGAGTTTGAGAAAATAATATAATTTTTTTTGGGTTCCAGTAATATACAAGGAGTCCTTACTCGGCTCTATATGTATCTCCTCCTACCAAACTCCCAGTGTGCATATAACTAAAGCGCCATCCAGTTGCAGAAAAATTGTATAAAACATGATAACAAGCCGTCTTGTGGATCAACAATCAACTCTAGATTTCCCATGGCAGGTAAAACACCACTGTGCGCATTTCACACTTTCATTTTGTTCACCTCTGCCACTTTTTCTCTGTAACAAACAGAAATTGAGCAGTTAAGCACAGGAGCAATCAGTTTCGAGACAATTGTCCTAAGGTAAGGAGCAATGCATGCTCAGATTACCAAACTCCCCACCACAACAGCATCGCATCAGCAAATGCTGTGAAGGTTAACTCAGGAGGCGAGTAAATAAATAGTGGATTACAGCATCATTGGCAAGAATCTATTCAGCCTGTCTTTGGGTGAAAGAATTTCAAACCAAAATGAACCATCGTACAATAAACTTGTATGTTTCATGATGCATGATGGTCACCAGCCATTACCTATATTAAATGGATTCTAAACAATTTATGCTAATAACAGCAAAGATGCTATAATAATCATAGTAGTATTGAACAATATCCTATCAAATCTTTAAAAATTTGCAGTTGGGAACTAAATAACATCCCCAATTAGAGTAAATTTGTTAAATGACAATGAAAACCTTTTCAACCACAATGCAAGACAGACTATAAATGAGTACAAGGAAGTTCAGAGAATACCATGAACAATGTGACTATCATTTCCCTTTGCACCCTGCTGTGCCTGAGACTTTGACCGCTGGATGCGTGGAGAACCCTGCCTTCCATTTGCACCAGGTAAGGACTGCCTCTTCTTGATGAAATCTCTGTCCTGCACATCTGGGCTGGATCTTGGTGAGTTATTTGCGTTGAGTTTGGCTCTTGCTGATTCCGTGGCTTGCATGAAATGAGGGATAGAACTGCTGCTGCTGCTGTCTCTTGGCTCTTGATCAGTGCTGTCAGGTTTTGTGGAACCAAATGAATTCCGCCTCTTCCCATTCTTTTGATCTTTGGACAATTGTTCCACACTAGTCCCTGCACCAGAATCATGATTTGGGTTCGATGGAGATCTCTTACTTGCTGATAAAGACTTGCGTTTTTGGCTTGAACTGCTTTTGTCAGCCCTGCTCTTTTTAGCTTTCACAGATAACTGACTTGAAGGTGTTCCTTGGGACTCTGGAACAGTTGCATGGCTTCTGGGAGAAGCTTCTGGGGATGATCTATATGCTAGACCAACAGCCTCCGAGTTCAGTTCTCTCTTGACATCAGATACACTTTTCTCTGGATTCATCTCCTCCTGTGCAGAATCTGCAACAACAATTGTATTCGCTGATTCACCTTTGACATCCCCAAGTTTCTCAGGCTGATCCAAGCGAGACGAAGTTGAAACTGGATCCATAGATGAATCTTTATCTTCTACACCTAATTCTTTTGTACTGTTAGGATTACGGGTTTCTTCCCCTGAAACCTTGGTTTCATGCTCAAGTTCTGCAGCTCCAACTTCAAATACATCAGGTGAATCAAGTGTGGAGGTAACAGAAAGTTCAGTGCCACATTCAGAGCCAACGTATTGAACCCTTGAATTATGAGGGACTGAGTTTTCTGCCATGTCAAGCTCCTTGGTCCTTGATTCTGTATCTATCCCAGATATTTCCGTGTTTGATTCAACTCCACTATCTTGATGCGAGGAACTGAATGATTTACTCAAACTGGCTGTTGAACTCAGCCCCTCGAATTTTGTCTGGGCAGCAATGAATGCAGGATTGCTTGCCTTCCTTGATCCATACACGAATTTCTTTCCTTCAGTCTCCAATTGTTCAGAGGCTCCCCTTTTCATAGAACGTTTGGCTTGATCAGGTTGTTCACCATCTAATTCTAGCTTATGAGGAAGAGAATTGGTCACCCTTTTAGAATTTACTTCAGATTCTATAGTTTGATTTGGAAGAGAATTTAGAGTTGTTATTGAGGTTTCTTCTGCATCCGATTTATTACTCGTCTCAGGTTGAGGCTGCTCCAAAATATCTCCTGGTAAAGGAGAGTTTGGATGGCACGCCTGAAACTTGAAGTCAAGTTTGGATGGCACACCTGAAACTTGAAGTCAAACGCATCTGATTTTTTCAGACTCTCTTCACTTTCAGATGGCAGAGCAACTTCCTTGATAATGGAATTTGAATCTTCCGACTCGCAGAATTCTTCAGGTGGGACTCTAGTTTGCGCAGAAGAGGTAAAATTCTCCCTCTTCTCTATTTCTAGTTGTTCAGTTATAAACTCTGGTTTGGGTGTTGGTTCCACTGATGAAACAGACATCCACCTCTCCAACCAGTTCCATGCAGAATTACGCTTAGACGAATCACACTTGATGTGGATAGGCTTGGTCTTTGGTGTCGATTCCATCAACTTTAATTCAAAGCAAAAGGTCAGGATGTTTGATAAGTGACATGTATAGCACAAACACAGTTGCAAATTACACAGAAAAGTTCCCGTGTTTCCATACCTGACGAGCGAAGCTATTGCCGACCAGTTTCTCAATGCCATTTGGTTTGATTACTGAGCTTTCCTTCTCCTGAAAGCAAAACGAAAAGAAAGCTTGTATGAGACTGTCTGGTGATTTGGGAAGAGAATTGCTGTCCGTGAAGTTTATAAACAGAGTTTTTTTTGTCAAAAGCATGAAAAGATGCCAGTTTTCTTTAACAAGAGGAGAGCAGAAAATTCTCCTACATGTAGCTTTTATGATAGCTGTTGCTTATAGCGAGCATAATGCAATTAACTAAAATGAAAAGGAAAAGTTCCGACACAGCGCGAGTTAGTTCATTAATCTCCAACTCCATGCTTTGAAACATTGGTTTAAGATATCATTTCATACTTGCCTTCCAAGAATTCACGATTTTCTAATAAATTCTGAAAATGTCTTTCAAATCAAAGCAACAGTAACCGAGTTAGAACAGTGAACTGACATGAAGAATTTGGGACATCAGACAGAAGTTTTGAAGTACTAGCTATTTCATTTGGACAGTGGGTTGTGCCAGACCAGCATCATCCACATAACCAAACCATTTGTCAATTTGAACTCTTAAGCAGAAACCCTTGTAAAGGCAGTGCCCTTTGGTTAAAACATTCTTATTTAAGTTGATTAGCATTACCGAGGTCATGGATATAGGTTTGCCATGCTTCCCACCAACCTCGTTTTCTACATATGAGCTCTTTAGTGACAAACGAGCACGGCGAGCACGAACAAGAGCTTGCATTTTAACAATGGCCTGAACACAACGTAGGGTTCCAATGGCATGCTGCCGGACAAGGTAGCCACGTACGGCAGCTTGCAACTTAACAACATTCTTAAGCTTGAGGAGTTCTTTTTGAGCCTGGAGGACAGTTCGAAGGAAGAATGGATTAGAATGATTACCAACAAGCAAGCTCCATAGTCAAACATTTCCTTAAAGCAAAAATAAAATTACCAAAACCCCCCTGACAGCAGCCTGTATGACAATAACAACAGACTCTTCCACACGATCATCAACTTCATTCTCATCCTTGGTGAAAACAATGGTCTCAGCTACTTCCTGGTCTGTTGAAGCAGACAGTGGTTTCTCCGACAGTTGCAGCTTGTCTGGCAGCTGTGGTTTCTCAGACAACTGTGGTTTCTCATCAGTGCATTGTATCACAGCATTTTTTTCTGGAGCAGTAGGGATGTCTGGTGGCTGGAAGTTTAGATTTGCGGGTTCTGGACTCTCCTTGTTCACAGAAGAAGGGGTGGTTTCTGAAATGATAGTGTTGCTGAGAACTCGATGGCGGGCAGATTTCTTCCGGAAACTCCATCCGCGCTTGTCACTTGAACCATTGCTCTGAAATGAAATTTACATAACATCATCTAACTGATGCTACATTAAAACAGACTCCCTTTTTTTTCCAACTTTCGACTGTAACTCTTGATGGTGAATGGCTTACCGAAACCTTATAGACATACAAGCAATACGATTCGATGAAAAGGACATTTCAAGCAAGAAATATACATACATACATACATACATCGATGCCTGATCGACATTACCAATTGCAAATTGCAACCATGATCCACATAATTTCCTTAAACCATCCATGAATTCTGTCATCCATGTCTATAGATCTTACATGTATCCATCATACTTCAAACTTGATCAGTCAAAAACGAAACGCCAATCCTGCCTATAATGTTTGATAATCCATTAAAGCATACTACATTTACTAGTTTCAACTTTCAAATTAGATTGGCGTTAATAAACCTTGGCTAAATCAAAGACGAAAGTTTCTAATCCTCGCGTAGACTTGATAACTTCGACTAAGGAACAAAAAATGGCTAAAAAATTTCGTGCAACGTCCGACCTTCTTCTTCTCTCCAGCTTCAATCAATATAGTAAATCAGATTTTAACACCATTAATTACAAAACTTCACTGAACGAAAATTCAAAGTTTCTCGGATCTTCCACACATCCGCACATTGTTCGTTTACCATTTCCAACAATTCTTCGGAACCAAACACATTAGCAATTTAACTAATAAATCACCACTCAAACTAAAAAATCAACAAGTTCCGGGAAAAAGAAGAAGAAGAAGTGACTGAAAATAGAAAGTGAGCAGTAAAAAAACTAAGGAAGTGATTATTGTTGACCAATCAGGTACCTCAGGGAGTTGAAGATCATCTCTGTCAGCAGAATCGCTACCGCAGGTGATTATTTTCAAACAGGAAGTGGATCTTCCCATTTGTATGTTTTTCTTGTTTTTACCTCTCTAAAAAAACCTCACTCGCTCACTACTCCCTCGTCACTCGCTCACTCTCTTTCTTTCTTAACCAACCTATATTCGATGTGGCTTGTTGGAAATTGTAGCTAAGAGGGACACGGACCTCAACATGTTCCTTAAATCGAGCTCACTCATGTTTTGGAATCCGTCATTTATCGACAACTCCGTTGGCCCTCTCTCTCTCTCGCCCTCTCTCCTTGTGCCTGTCCGTTTGAGATAAAGAGAGAAGCTTGAAAAGGCTGTCAGATCCTCTACGCTTTCCTTTCCTTTTCTTTTTTTAATATTTTTTTATATTATTCAGCTCATGTAGCCGTTCGATCACGAGACTCGCGAGAAGTTATTTACGAGGGGATTTTCTCGTTAATTGGATCGTGATTAATTTGAAAGTTGCCGTTTTATTTACTCCGTTAGCATGTTGTTTGTCGTATTTGGTGTGTGTACTGGCACGCGTGATTGGTCCGGGATGCGAAAGGTATGTATATATTCGTGAACTGTATTAGTGTCCTTGACTTTTGTCTTTTGTGGATGACCTTCACATTAATTGCTTTCAAATTTGTAGCAATGAAGCCAATAAGAAATTGAGACTCTCTAGTTCATCGCCTGTTTTGATAACTATTTTTTCATGAATGCATATTGTATGGCCTCTTAAGATCATGATTTAGAACAATGAGCTAAGATATTCTCTTTAATTTAATTAATTAGCTTGTTCACCGCAGGACATATAATAAAAAAAATTCAGTAAAATATAAACCATGACTTAGCTTTTTGACATGAAAGATTATAAAATTCATTTGAAAGTGTGATAACTTTTTTTTTTTTAAATGTATTTATCTTAAAATATTAAGTTGATATTTTTTTAGTGTTTTTTTATAATTTTAATGTTTTGATACTAAAAATAAAAAAAATCTAAATAATTATTTTAATATATTTTTAAATAAAAAATATTTTTAAAAAATATCCCGTATTATAATATCAAATACACACTTACTAGTTCAGTCCATCAATTAAATTTTATAACATGCATAAAATTTAATAGGTATTGTTTACTGTATAATTTTCATAACTTAAAATTATTTTATATTCCTGATATATGGTATTTTTTAAAATTTGAATATTAAAATTAAATTACTTTTAAAATTTTTTATTGAAACTATGTTACTCGTGTAGTTAAATAACTATTAAAAAACTATGGAAATCTTAAGAAATAATTTGAATTCAATAGTATATATTTCACAAACTTGAATTCCACAGTTCAAGTTTTACAATTATGTTACATGGCTAAAATATCAGATTTGACATGATAAATATTTTTATTTATTTATTTTTTTACTTGCCATTTCTAGTACATGCTTAAAATGTAGAAAAAAATTTAAAAAAAATTCGGGGGAAGAAACGTGGAGTTAAAATTTCGCTCTCTAGATAACAAAAAAAATAATGTGAATTGGATTGCAAGTATATCCTCCAAATACATCACGTCATGAACGCAATCAAACGCCTCTTTCCACCCCCAGATGCTATTGCACAAACTTCCGGACACTGGGAGTTTGGGCACTTGCCAAGAGTTTATTGGCCAGAGCAAAACTTATCCTTTTGTGGATCAATACTCAATTGCGCAGCAAGCATGGATGATGCATTTACAGTGACAGGAGGGTGTACGAAAAGTGTAGTGCCACCCACTACCCAGGCAATAATGCAAGTTATCGCGACGCAGGAGACTAATAACGTTGCTGAGAAGTTGACACTTGTCTGAATGACTATTTGTTATATATATATAAAAAGAATTAATAATTCAATCATTAAACTTTAGAGATATTCCTCATGGTAGGAAATTAAATTAAATTTTATATTTAACCATAATTTATTTAAAATTTCAATTATTCAAGATCCAGGTTAGTTTCGTTCTTAAAGTAAATTTTAGTTATTTTTGTTAATGTTATTTTAAATAAAGATAGTGCGACAAGAAGAAATTTTTTGTAATTTTTATTGTCATTAACTACACATTGAAAAGGGTGTGTTTTAAAAAAAAAATCATAAATTATATATAACAATAAATGATAATAAGTTTATTAAGTTTTTTTTCATTATATTTTTTGTCTTTAACATTTTCCTGCTCGTTCACAATTCTAAATATTGTTTCGTGACTTATTGAGTATCAATCATGTTATAATTATCAAATGAAAAATAAAAGGATACATTAAAAAAAAGAGATATAAATGAAAAGGACGTTACGGTTTGTTAAATAAGAAGAAAAATGATCCAATAAAAAAAACTAATAAAAAATCAATATGAATTAAAAAGAAAAAAAGAAAAAAACAGAGTTAGGATGATCAACTAATAAAAAATCAATATGAATTAAAAAAAAAAGAAAAAACAGAGTTAGGATGATTCACTGTTTATATATACAATGAAACGGTAAATTGAGTTTGATTTTCGGAGAATTATAGTGGGAATTGAATTTAAAAAAAAAAAAAAACTAATGGAAGGGTATTTTTTAAGTGTAATTTGCGCAGTATACACAAAGAAACTTATGTTTTACGAGCCAAAATATTTGTCCTGTAATGCCTTCCATATCCAACAAACAATTTAAAAAGTATATCCATCATACAAATAATTTAGAGCCATGATGCTATCTAGAGTGTCACAACAGGGTAACCAAACTAATTTGTCTTCACTCTCCACGTGGAAGAATAGCTGGATGGCACTTGTAACAACATAGAACCCATGCGATGTCTTGCAGCTGCAAGTGGGATTCCAAAAAACAAATGATCGATGTCGGGACCTTACAAAATACGATGCTATGGATCAGGCTTCTTCAGGGATTAATCAACAATCATTAATTTCTTAAGCCTCGATCAAATAGTTAGCATACAGTCAATTCAAGAATTAATTGCACAATGATGACACGGTCTTTTCATCTTAAACTAACTAATCAAGAAATGTTTAACCTGATCTTATCCATCTTCCTTGTTGCAGTCTCGAGAGCGACATGATTAATGAATGACTTATTAAAGTTAGTACATTAATGTTATAGTTTTCATGGTTATAGTTTTAAAAAATAGTTTTTTTTAAATATAAATTATAATATTTTCTTAACTAGAATTTAAAAAAAATTCAGTTAATCATGTGAAATTGCAGTATTCGTTAATTAATCAAACTTTTTCTAATCTATTATTAAAGTAAAATACAAATCACACACAAATAGAAGCCTACTTAAACAGGCAGAGACTATATATATATAACCGTTGTTATTTTGAGCCGAAAGTAATCAAGACTTGTTATTTTGAGGCAGAACGTAATCGTATTAAGTTTTTTATGGTTAAAACATTTGATGTACATGAGGCAGTCGAACCTACCAATCCACCAAACCCCGATTTTTGGGCGTTAAGGTTCCTCACAACATTGTACATGTACGCTGTTTTGTAGTTGTGTGGTCTCCCTTCATGCCAGGTCTCCATCAACGTAGAAATCAATCACATCTACTAATGGTAAGGGCATGTTTAATGTTTTGAAAGTTTTTTTTTTTAAGAATTTAATTTTTTTATTTAAATTAATATTTTTAGAATATTTTTAGAATATTTTAATTTAGTGATATCAAAAATAAATTTTTAAAAAATAAAAAAATATTATTTTTATATATTTTAAAATAAAAAATACCTAAAAAACAATCATTATCATATTCCCAAACATTTTAAATTAATACACATATTTTAATGGCGAAACACCATTTTCACCTAGAATCCAAGCTTCCTAGTGAGATTTGAATCCCATCTAAAGCAAAGGCATTCCTTCACGCACCTAAATGAAAATTATTTCAGAAATCAAACTGGCAATTTAGGTACAACAGCACATGACCGCCCACCAGTCGGACTTTCTTTCTTTGGAGGAGTGTCTTGTGGAGCCCCCTCACATGGTAAGACCCTGCTGGCGATGATGATGATGATGAGATAAAATGTTTCTTTCACCAGTTTGATCAATTAGCAATGGCTTGTTGCGGTATACAATGAAATGATACTATCATTTTCCTATCAAATTGCAGACCATCGATGGCATGCGATTTTTCAGACCCATGAATCAATTATTTAGAGCATTTTGATGCCCTGTGCAAGCAGTGCACCACAAAAAAAAAAAAAAAACTATCACAAGAGATTGAGAAGGATCCTTTAGAGTTATCTGGTCAAATATTTACTTTTGAATAATTATTTAAAACAAAATAGGGTCAAAAAAAGCTCGACAAGATTGGTTTATGCCCAATTGCACTGGGTCTCTAGAAAAACATAATCTAGATGTGTGGGCTTTTAATTCCAAAACCACACATCCAGACCTTTTTTTATTATTATTTAAATAGATGGATGTTGAGTTTTTTTTTGTTTAAAATACAAAGATTATATGTCATTTATTGAAATAAATAACATATCATTCTAACATAAATTTTATCTATTATTAGAAAATTTAATTTATTATTATAATAGTTGAAAAATATACAAATTATTTTTTCAACGTATCTAAAATCAAAAACACCTAAAATTATTCTTAGAACATTTAGAAATTAATTTAATAATATAATAAACAAGATAAAAATAACTCAAATTAAAAAATCAAATAGAATGAGTTTTCTCATCATCAACTTAAATATACTTTTTATGTAATATTAAGACTCAGAACAACTATTATAAAACTCTTCTCACTTAGTGTAACTTATTGATAATAATTTTAATTATTTAGTGGTCATTATGAATATATACAATAATTTTTTATTTCTAAGTTGGAATCTAGTTGATCTATCTCACTCCTTTCATAGAAAATGACTGATAAATAAAGAATATAAACTTTGATATTAAAATTGAGTTTTTAAAAACTAAAAGGACCAATCATTTTTAAATAAAAAAATTAAAATAATTTTTTTTATATGAAACTCGAATGTACCTTTTATTTTACCATAATATCTTTACTTTGGTCTAATGACATTTAATCCAACCCTTTCTCCCATAAAAATACCAGTTGAGTGCAAATTTTGGTTTTAAAAAAGTTTAATTATGTTAAAAAAATTGAGGATTAAATTATTTTTTTAAAAATTAACTATTCCAATCTACCGTTATTTATGAGACCGCACGGTAAACATTTCTACGACGAAAACCAACCCATATGTTTCAGTAAATTGTTAATTATTTAATTGGCAGGGCTTTATGGCCATAATTTGATTGATATTTAATAATCAAAACTACATTAAACAAGAGGATCTAATCATTTTTGACCCACAGGCTTATTTGGGCTGGGCCTAAATTGCAATAATTTGATG